TCTGCCCAGGACTTGCTGATGTTCTTCTTTTCCAAAGGCAAACTTCAAGTTCAACACTCACCCCGGCACAATTCCAGCTTTCTTTAAGCAATTACAAGGAGAAGAGAAGGCTCCCGGGAGATCTCACTGCAGCACTTCAAGGATTGTAAAAAAAAGAGAGAGAGTGACTTTTTGCACAGGCAGAAAGAGATAGGACAAGGGGGGGGGGGGGAAACACAGTTTTAAACTAAAATAGGAGAGATTTAGATGGGATATTGGGAAGAAATTCCTCCCTGTGAGGGTGGTGAGGGGCTGGAATGGATTTCCCAGAGCTGTGGCTGTCCCATCCCTGGAAGTGTCCAAGGCCAGGTTGGATCGACCTGGGATAGTGGAAGGTGTTCCTGCCCATGGCAGGGGGCTGGAATTGGATAATCTTTAAGGTCTCTTCCAACCCAAACCATCCCACGATGCTGTGACTCCCACTCCTCTTTCTGGCCTTGTTGGAAGCAACATTTACGCATCCTAAAGTTTGAGAAGCGGAGCTTCATCGTTCATTTCAGCCGCAGTGAAGCACCTTCTCCCATTATTCACTCTTTTTCCAGTGTCTCAGCCCCAGAGAGGGGCACCAAGCCCTCACCTACCTCCACCTGGGCAAACACAGCCCCGCGGCGAGGCACGGAGGTAAATAATTCATCTGCGTGCAAACACAGGGAAAGAACAATTAAGCCAGAAAGCACAGCGGGGACGGTTCGAATTTCAGTCAACATTAAGACGGGGTGGGGGGGGGAAGATCAAACAAAGAAATACCAGCGGGGCTGCCCGACAGAGAACTCCGGGGCAGGGAAGGGGGGACACCCGCGGCGAGGCACAGGAGGGACGAACACCCCGGCTTTTAGCGGGGTCCCAGCCCGGACCCTCGGCAGGGCTCGCCAATTGTCACAGGGGCGCACAGCGACTGAAACTCCGCTTGTGGGGCTCAGAGCAGGTTTAGGGCCGGTTTAGGGGGTGGGTTTGAATCAGACGCGGGTTCAAACCCGCGGGGTTTGAGCCCCGTGTCCCCCGGGCTCCCCTCAATGAGCGCCCCCCCCGTGCTCCCGCACCCCACGCAGGCCCTTCTCGCCCCCCTCCCCGCTGCCGGAGCGCTGTGCCGGGGTAGGGGGGCTCTGCAGGGCCGGTCCGGGGGTCCCCGGAGCCCCCCGGTCCCCGCTGCCCTCACCTGCCGCTGCCGCCGCCGCTGCCGGGCCGCCCCGCCGGAAACCGCCGCGGGCCGGGCGCGGGGCATGACGGGAGATGTAGTCCGGTAAAGGGGAACGCCCCCTCGGTGGGAGGACACGCCCCTTGGGAAGGACACGCCCCTTGGGAAGGACACGCCCCACTCGGTGGGAGGACACGCCCTCCGGGGAAAAACACGCCCCCCTCGGGGAGGACACGCCCCCTCGGGGAGGACACGCCCCTTGGGGAGGACACGCCCCCTCGGCGCGGAACGGGGGGGGTTGGGGGGGCGATGGGAGGATTTGGGGTGAGGGTTTGGGGTGAGGGGGTGACAGGGGTCGTGAGGGGTTGGGGTAGGGGTGATGGGCTGCTGAGAGGGCTCGGGGGAGGCTTTGGGGTCAAGGGGTAAGGGGGGCTGTGGGGTTTGGGGTAGGGGGTGATGGGGTGCTGGGGAGGTTGGGGTTGAGGGTGAGGGGGGGCTGTAGGGCTTTGGGGTGAGGGGGGACAGGAGCGTGGGGTGAGGCTTTGGGTTTGCAGATGAGGGAGTTTGTGAGGGTTTGGGGTAGGGGATGCTGGAGGGTTTGGAGTGAGGCTTTGGGGTCAGGGGGAGATAGAGGTCACGGGGGCTTGGGGTGCAGGATGATGGGGTGCTGAGGGGACGGGGATGAGGCTTTGGCGTTGGGGTTTACCCACGGAAGCCTGAGATGGCTCCCTGGGTTACCTGGGAGGTGGATTTAGCCCTTTGCACCCCGGCAAGGGAACTCTCACCCCCAAAACCCCAGTGTTCCGGGGGGAGTCAGCTGACACGACCCCACACCCCCCACAACCCGGGCTAGTGGAGGGTGTCCCTGCCCAGGGCAGGGGGTGGAACGAGATGGGCTTTAAGGTCCCTTCCAACCCAGCCCATCCTGGGATTCCGTGGTTCCAGCGTTCGGAGCAGCGATGCGGGGCAGGTTCCCGGCAGGAACGCGGGGCAGATTCCAGCGGTCGGTCCGTAGCTCCTGCCGGTCCCCAGCGAGCGGCGCTGCCGGGCCGGGAAAGCCGGGAACCGGCGGGGAGGGGACACGCCCGCCCGCGTTCAGCCCCCTCGGGGGTGGTTCGGGCTGTAAATCCGGGCTGTGCTGCCCGATTGTCCCCCTCCATCGCCCCGGCAGGGGTTGGGGACCCCCTCGCACCCAGCGGGCGCTGTGGCAGAGCTGGGGGTGCGGGGTGACACCCCGAACCCCGGGGACAGCAGCTCGGGGACACATCCTGAACGACGGCTGCTCCCAGCCCTTCCCTGGCTGCTTCCCAAGGACTAAAACTCTCCAGCGGCCATTTGAGGTGCCCAGAGCCCGCAGTTCCCCCGGGATAAGCCCGATTTATCCCCAGCGAGGGCAGGGACTCAGTGGCCCGGTGACCGCCCCTTAAATCCAAAGCAAGCGGCTTTTTACCTGCGGAGGGCTCGGAGCTTACGGACCCCCCACCCTGCCAGGCTTTCCCGCTGTGTCCCTGAGGATGGAGCTCCTTTTGGAGGGGCTTGTGGGGGGTCCCTGGCTCGCAGCCCCCCCCGGGATGGCTCCTGGCACTGCGGAGACCCCGAGGTGCCCACCGAGGGGTGGGTTACGCAAGGGCTGGCACCGGGCATGGAGGGTGCCAGGGGATATTTTGGGCTCCATGGGCAGGACACATTCTGTTCCCATGAGCTCAGCCAGTGATGGGGGCCGGTCCCTTCCCACCCACTGCCCCACAAAACCCTCACGGGGGTCACTGGGTGGCTCCAGGTCTCCACTGGGAGCACTGGGGGCTCAGCTCCATCACAGCCTGAGCTGGCCATGGCAGAGGCTTTGCAGAGCTTGAGGAGCTGCTTTGTTTTCAGCCTGGATTTATCCCCTCCCATGGCAGAGGGTTGGAACGAGGTGATGTTTAATGTCCCTTCCAGTCTGAACCATTCCATGGTTCTATGATTATCCGTCTCCTGCCCGTGCAGTGGATCCAGGTATCCACTTGCATCCGTAGGGCAACGAGCTGCCAACACTCAGAGCATGGATATTCCTCCTCATCTCCAGCCCCACATGAACCCCTGCACCCCTGAGGGCAGCCCAGCCCCAGTAATGCCCATTTCCCAAAGCATTTTGGGCTCCATCAGCCTTAAAGTGCTCACTCAGCACAGATTATTATTATTATTATTTATAATTATCATTATTATTATTTCCTGTTGCTTTCCTGTGTGATAAACACCGCTAACACATGTTTTTAAATTGGGGGCAACTGTGGTGGAACACAAAAATTGCATCCATTGGGATCATAACTATCAGCTACAGGTGGGGAGATTATTAATATACCTTCTGCCCTGCAAGACAACAGTGAAAGCTGCTGATAAATTATATATATATATATATGTAGACAAATTGCAGGCCTTGGTTATGCACAGGGTAAAGGATTTATTGGTTTATAATTGTGGCCAGCTGAAGAAACTGATTTCACCAGACACATTGTGAAAGTGCAGCAAAAAAAGAAGAGGTTTTCTCTTTTTTTTCTTTTTTTTTTTTTGACAGCTCAGCCCTTCCCAGCGAGGCTTTGTGACCAGAAACAGCACCTTCAGTCAAGGATCTCTTCCATTTGAACAAAATATTTGGGATGCCTCAAAGAGAGCCAGGAGGCTGCAGGAAAATTCCTCCTCGGACAGAATGTCCCTGTTGCCTTGACCCTTTTCTACAGCTTGTCTTTGGTCCTCTGAGCTGTTTCAGTTCCCTAAAAGATGACATTTTCCTCACTTCTTTGGAAAAACCAACACACAAATTCTCCAGCTGCTCCAGGGCACTGAGACCCCATGGCCAGACCCCCCCCATATACGTGGCAGAAAAGCCACTAGTGCTAAAAAATAAAATCTCAAAACACCCTAAAAATCGTGCCAGACTCACTTAAAAATAAGCTCAGGGTTGCCATTCCCAGCATCTTTGGGGAATAACCCCAAGGTTATGTGACAGGGGGCTGTCACCCTGGCAGGTCCCCAAACACTTCCATGTCCCCCACAGAGTGTTGTTTGGTGTTAGAGGGTGACACCCTAAAAATACAGCACTTTTTGGGGAGGGGTTTTGTCCTCTCCAGCAGGAACTTTGGCCCAACCAGCAGCGCTCAGGGAGCCCCGTCCTCCTGCCTCAGCTTCCCCAGGGCCCCTGAGCTGCCCCCAAACCTCTTTCCCTCGGTGCAGGCAGAGGCTCTGCCCCTGTAAAATCCCCAGAAAACCCCCAGTGAGCCCCTTCCAGCCCTGCTGCCCCCCCGTCCCTGCTCAGAGGTGGGTCCAGAGGGTCTCTGGATGCAGAGCCAGGATCCAGCTCCTCAGGCACACGAGGATCCCCCTCGGCCTGCAGGGCTGGCCCCTCCTCAGGGATCTTATCAGCAGCTTCCAGGGGCTGCTGCCCACGCCCTGATAATTGCCTGGCTCCCCAGCACAGGGTTGGTGTGTCCCCAGTGCTGCTCCACCCCCCCAGAACCATCCCAGCAGCAGGATCACACATCCCATGGAAAACCCACAGTGGGAAGACTGTCTTGCCCCAGCTCCCGACCTCCCAGGAGGGTGTTACATCCAAAACCGGGTGGGAACAATCACCACAAGGAGGGTGGACTGGAGTCAAACCCACTCCCCTCAGGAAAATAGGGAGTGCTCAGACCCCCCGTTTTCCCCCTTGGAATGCTCCCAAACACTTCCAGAGCAGCAGGATCCACCCCACCCGCCTCCCCCCAATTCCATACAGGATCAGCCCCTGGGCTGAGCAAGGGGAAGGGGAAGAAGGAGAAAGAATAAAAAAAAACCAACCCTAAAAATATAAATTGAAAATAAAAACCAACAACTTTATTTTTTCGAACAAGATCCGTAGCAAAGTCACAGGGGCATTTCCATGCCCAGTCAGAAGTAAATACACCCAAAAAATATAGAAATAACTTAACTGGAGATATGATTAAACAGCCAAACCAAGGGTGGTGGTGCTGCTGGCCCTGGATCCTGCTCCAGCAGAGCCAGGAGTGGGGACTTTCCCAAAACATTCACCTCCCTGGCGACCTGCGCCTCTGGGAATGCTCTGGCACGTCTGGATAAAGCCACGGTCACTCCATCACCCTGAGAGCAGGAGGGAGCCCCGTGTCCCAGCACAGCTCCCACCTCAGCCCCTCAAACTGGGGCAGTGGAGATGCACAAGAAAAGGTGTAAAACGCCCCACGGGCACTTCTCCCCTCACCCTGCTCCTGCCCTGGCACCCAAGTTAAAGGCACAACGAGACCCCAAAAAGCAGGAGTGAAGCCCTCTGGCCCTCTCTGGCAGGGGGACAGTCCTCTGGCACTAGGATGTGTCACACAGTGGTGTGACACCAGCACTGCTCCCACAGACACCTCAGTTTGGCTTCCTTCAGGCTCACCCCAAAAGGGCACAGAGCAGTGGGGCACCCCCAGCTCTGCCAGGGCAGCACAACAGGCTCTTCCCACCACTTCTTAGGGATCCCCTTCCCTGGGAGAACGAACGGGGAAGCCCCAACTTTCCTTCCCCAGTTCCCCTTCAGCAGGGAGATAACGTTGCAGGCTCACTGGAACAGGGTGGCAGCTCCCCCCTGGCCTGTCCCCTGCCCGTGGGGCCCGTGGGGCAGGAGGAGGAGGAGGAGGGAGCAGAGCAGGGTCAGGTCATGTAGCGGGTGACGGCGCGGAGGGCGTAGAGCAGGGCCGCCTGCATCCGGGCCTCCAGCAGGAGCAGGTTGATGTGCACCTGAGGGGAGAGAGGGGGGTCAGGGGGTGGGATCAGCACCCCCAAACACCCCGCCAGCAGGGGCAGGGAGGGGGCAGCACCTTCTCCGAGTGTTTGAAGTGCCTCCAGAACTGGGTGTAGATCTGCTTGGTCGTCTTCTCCGGGTAACAAGCCACTGTCTTGATGTAGATCTTCAGGTTGCGCTCCAGGAGCTGGTTCACCTCCCCGTAGTCGTAGTCGTCGTAGCTGGGGGGAGAGGGGGAGAGTGTGTTCTTCAGCCACAGCCTCTGTGCACTCACAGAATCCCAAAATAGTTTGTGTTGGAAGGGATATTAAAGCCCATCTCGTTCCACCCCCTGCCATGGGCAGGGACACCTTCCACTAGCCCAGGTTGCTCCAAGCCCCGTCCAGCCTGGCCTTGGACACTTCCAGGGATGAGGAGTCCACAACCAGGGATGGAGAGTCCACCACCTCTCTGGGCAACCTGTGCCAGGGCCTCACTTCCCTCATCACAGAGAATTTTGTGCCTCCCTTATAATAAAAATTTATTCCCAAATTGCCACCCCCTGGGGTCCTTCTGCTGTTGTCAGCACCATTTTCCCTTAGTCAAGCAACAACCTGAGCAAGACCAAGTCACTGGACCCACTCCCGGGCTCTTCCCGAGGCGGAGAAGAAGCTCCAGGCCAGGTTTTGGGGACCTACCGGATGCCGAAGACGCAGTGGACGTAGTTCCAGATGGCCCTGCGGAGCATGGAGGTGTCCACCCCGCAGTGCATGGCGATGGTGTTGTAGGTCAGGTTATAAACCACCTGGAACTTCTCGTCCAGCAGCTGCCCCACGTCCGGGTACAGGCGGTTGATCAGCGAGAAGCCGTGGTCCTCCCACGTGTAATCCTGGGGGATTGGGGATTTTGGGGTTTCGGGGGGGGGGGTCTCTCCCCCCTAAGTTGGCCCCACAACTCTCAGCATCTCGCTCAGCTCCAAGCCCTTCACCCACCCAGCTGCTCCCACCACCCTGGGAATGTCCCCCCTGTCCTGCCAGGGCAAGACAAGCAGGAGCTGCCCCCCCTCCCCTCCCAGCACCCCCCTCTCACCTGAGCATGGAAGGTGGGGGGGGCCTGCTCCCCCCTCCGTGTGAAGTCCTTGTAGCCGAACTCGGGGTCCTCCACGAAGCAGCGGACGTGGGACTGCAGGGAGGGGTCCAAAATATCTGCAAGGCACCACCAGGGCGGCCGGGAGTGACGTGGTGGGACCCCAGACAGAGCCAGCCCTGCACTGAGAGGCTGATCCTGCTCTCCCAGGCAGATTCTGGCTCTTCCCCCTTCCCCTGCCCCACGGGGACCCCCTCCTCAGCCAGGTGCCCCCCCTGCACCTCCTCACCTGAGGGAGGGACCAGCAAACTCTCCGTCTTTTCCAGCTCGAAGCGCGTCTCCATCTCCTCCTGTGTGACGCCCTCCTCCTCCTGCTGGTTTTCCTGCAGCAGCTTCATCCTCTCCATCAGCATCTCCACCTCCTGCATGGCGTCCCTGCCCTGGGGGGACCACAGGGCAGGGTCAACCCTGCCTCTGCTCGAGCAGAGGGGCCCCCAAAACCAGCTCTGCTGGCACTTGGAGCAGCCTCAGGGCTGCTGCAAAGAGCCTCTGGGTTTGTTCTGCCCAGACCTCAAGCAGCTCCCACGCTCCATGCCCAGGACTGGGAGGAGGGGGAAGCCCTGCAGAGGATGAGGATGAGGATGATACTGCACAGCCCTAAAGCATTTGCTGTTCCCAACAAAAGGCCACGGAGATGCTCCAAGGGCTGGAGCACCTTGATGATGGAGCCAGGCTGGAGAGCTGGGGGGGTTCACCTGGGGAGGAGAAGGCTCCAGGGAGACCTGAGAGCCCCTTGCAGGGCCTAAAGGGGCTCCAGGAGAGCAGAAGAGGGACTTAGGACAAGGGATGGAGGGACAGGACACAGGGAATGGCTTCCCACTGTCAGAGGACAGGGTTAGATGGGATATTGGGAAGAAATTCTTCCCTGTGAGGGGGGTGAAGCCCTGGCACAGGTTGCCCAGAGAAGCTGTGGCTGCCCCATCTCTGGAAGTGTCCAGGGCCAGGTTGGATGGGGCTTGGAGCAACCTGGGCTAGTGGAAGGTGTCCCTGCCCATGGCAGGGGGTGGAACAGGATGAGCTTTAAGGTCTCTCCCAACCCAAACCATTCTGGGATTCCCAGGAGAAGCTGCATAAAGCCCCCAGTATCCCACCACACCCTCCCACCCCTGCAAGGCAAAGCCCCCCCTTACCCCAGAGCCCCCCATGCTGTCCTCAGAGCCAGGGCTGCTGTCACTGTGGGGTGAGGGGGCCCAGCAGCCGTTCCCCCCATCCTGGTCCCCCTCGGGTTTGATGCCGCAGCCGAAGACGAAGGAGGCGAGCGAGTGGTAGTGGGTGAGGAGCACCAGGGCCTGCACCAGCTCTGCCAGCGACCAGCTGTCCTCCCCGGGCTTCAGCAGAGCCTGCAAGGCACAGGGAGGGTTGGAGAGACCCCCCAGCTTCCCCACAGAACCCCCCACCCCAGCCCAGGGCCGGGCAGACCCAGGGCAGGGACACGGGAGCGTGTTTGGGATGTGCCTCCCCCACAGACCCGTGGGGGTCACTCAGCCCCGAAAGGGTTAAACCTGGGGGTGGGTGCAAGCAGGGGTGTGGCCCCCGGGGTCAGCCCCCCCCCAGACAGTGTGTTTTGGGGGTGATTTGTGCCGGCAGCACCCCCCTCACCTCGATGTGCTCCTTGGTGACGAGCCAGGGCCGGTGCGCCAGCAGCTTGTTGATCTCGTTGAGGTTGCGGAGCTTTTGGGGGGCACAGTGCAGCCCCTGCAGCCAGGCAGGGCTGCCCCCCACCTGCAGGAACTCCCCCATGTGCAGTCTCACCAGGTAGGAGCACTGGTGCCGGGCTGCTGCCTGCGGGAGAGCCGGGAGTCACCCCCAGCACCATCCAGGGCCCCCCGACCCTGAGACAAACCCTCGGAGAAGCCAAGGCAGGGACACCCCCCCCCACATCCCTCCTGGGGGGTTTTCCCTGGGATATGAGTCCAGACAGAGAGGTCTGACCCCCCTCATCAATGCCAGTCCCCAGAGGCTCTGGAGGGAGGGTCTTGGGGAACCCTGGGGGGGCACCAACTCCAAAAGGGTTCAGAAACCTTTGGGACATCCCAGATCAGGGGGGTCCAACTGGGGGGGTCCCAAATGCCTTCCTGCAGCAGTGCTGGGACCCCACTTTAAGCCCCTGGGTCCCCAAATCAGAGAGGGGCTCATCTTTGGGGTCCCAAATGCCCTCCTGCCTCCTGAGCAGTGGTGCTGGGACCCCGCCAGGGGAGTTTTTCTCCCTCCACCATCAATGCCAGTCCCCAGGGGCTCTGGAAGGGAGGGTGCTGGGGTACCTGGGTGGGCACCAACCTTAAAGGGGCTTCCAAGGCTTTGGGACCCGAGATCAGAGGGGGTCCAATGGTGGGGTCCCAAATGCCTTCCTACAGCAGTGCTGAGACCCCACTTTAACCCCCTGGGACCTCAGATCAGAGAGGGGCTCATCTCTGAGATCCCAAATCCCTTCCTGCCTCCCGAGCAGCAGCGCTGGGACCCCCCAGAGCCCACTGTGACCCCCCCAGGCCCCCCCTGCTCACCATGATGGCGATGTAGTGGCGCTTGTGGTAGGGCAGGGGCCCGTCCATGCGCAGCAGGAGGTACTGGGTCTTCCAGAAGCTGCTGAGGTACTGGGGGTGCAGCCCCATGACCATGGCGACGTGGTCCACCCTCCCCGCCGACACGAAGGCCTCGATGAGGAGCTGGCGCAGGCCACTCTCCGCTCCTTCCCGCGGGATCTGTGGGATGCAGAGAGCAGGGAAGGGCTGTGAGATGCAGCCCCTCGCTCCTTCCACCCCCACAACCTCAAGGGAGACCCTCCCCCCCCCCCAGCAAGCAGCACCCATCCCCTTGCAGCAGATCCTCACCCCAGTGGGAGCTCCCTGCCTCCGGAATGGGCACCGCCGGTGGCTCCCGGTGCCCGTCTCCCCCTTCCCATTCCCAGGGGGCTGGGGGTGTCCAGGGGTGTCCATGCTGGCTCCCGTGTGGCTCAGCCCGTGGGTTGGGTTGTTTATTTGGGCACTGGAGGGCAGGAGCTGGGGCTCAGCCCCCCCGGCAGGGTGACGACACCGATATCTCTGCCCGGGGAGGGACCATCTGGGACACCCTCGGTGGGAGCTGAGATAGGGCTGAGGGTGCCCCGGGGATTTTGGGACAGAGTTTTTCTTCTGGGGAGGGGCAGGGCAGGGCAGGGGTGGGCAGGACCTTTGCCTGTCAGGGGAAGGACATTTGTGTCTGGATGAGCGGGGAAACCGAGGCACGGGCAGGGCAGGAAAACACCCGGGTGACAACACAACCCTCCCAAAGGATACCCCCCCACTGCCATGGGGACACCCCCGGGCTGGCTGACCCTTCCCCAGCATCCCAGCCCCACCAGGCACTAGGAACTGGGGTGGGGTGTGGGAATCCCCCCTGACCCCCCACCCAGGGCAGGGAGGGGGGAAGGAGCCCCCTCCCCACCCCAGCCCGGCCCCACGGCTCTCACCTCTGCCAGGGGGATGAAGGCACTGGGGCCCTTCGCCAGCTCCCGGGGGACCTTGATCCCTGTTTCCTGGGGAGGAAGGAGCAGCCGGGAGTCACCGGAGCCACCGAGTGTCCCCGCCGGTGTCACCGGAAGGGGTGACTCAGGCAGCCACCCCGCTGGGGCCACTGGCCCTCGCCCCCACAGCCCTTACGTCAGGCTGGCAGTGCCTGATGAAACCCGGCGGGGACGTTGCTCCGCTCCCGGAGGTGCGTGTGACACAGCGGGACACGGGGCAGGACGGCGGTGACACCGCCCCCTCCTTGGGGAAACAGGGAAAAACAGGGAAAAACAGGGGGCGAGGGTCCCGCAGGATGGCAGAGGGGGACAGGAGCGGCACCAGGCACTGTGGCGGCAATCCCCAGCACAACCACGGTCCCTCTGACCCCACCCGGGCACAAAATATCCCTGAACATCACCAGCTTCCCCCCCTCCCCAAATCCATTCACACAGTTAAGCCAGAAACGAGCCCCGCCCCTCACAGGGGCTTTCCACTCTCCAAGCACAGGGTTTAGATCCTTTCTGCCCCCCCCTCCTGCTCAAACCACCCCCCTTCCATCTCCCAAGGGAAAAGCAAGTTTCCTATGCCATGTTTTCTCCAAACACCGATTTGCCTCCTCTCTGCCGGCAGGTGGGTGCAGGCTGTCCCCAGTCAGGGAGCACACGGGCACAGTGACACAAACAGCCCCAAACCAGGACAGAGACATGGAAGCAGCAGCAGGAGGGACACAGCAGCTTCCCCCAGCCCACCCTCTGGATACAGGTCCTGCCACGGAGAAGCTGCTCAGGAATCCTCTCCAGCTGGTGAAGAACCACCCTCCAGTCTTCCCTTTCCCTGCAGAAATCCCCCGGCCCCTCCAGCAGCAGGAGCTGGGTGTGGCCCCATGAGGGTACGACCTGTTCCCAAGCACCTCCACGGGATGTTTGAATGGGATCCCAACACCAACCCAGAGGCTGGATCTGCCCACCCAGGGTCTCACCTCACCCTGGGATGCCCAAGACCACCCTGCTCCATCCCATGGTCCCCCCAGCACATCCAGGGGGGAGCAGTGCCACGGAGAACCAGAGGCAGGAGCTGTGCCCGTGGTGTCGGACACAAAGCTGCCTTGGCCCATCCTGAGGGACACTTCATCCAGTGCCTGCTCCCTGCTCTGGGTTCAGGGAGACCCACACAGGGCAGGCAGTGCCCACTGGTCACCCCACTTGTGCTGCTGGGGACACCCAGGGAACCCTGTCCCAGCCCGGCCAAAGCCACCAAAAGAGGAAAATGAACCCTATCCCAGGCAAAACCAGGACACAGCTGGATCCCTGCCAGCCCCCAGGACCCAAAAATAAACGATCATCCCCAGCAGGGTGCAGGGGGTGCTGCCCCACACCCCTGAGGGCTGGAAAGGGGCAGCCGGGCTCCCACAGCACCCAGTCAGTTCCCGGGTGAACTGGCCAACCTGCCCACAGGGAGGGATGCCAAGGCACGACCCAAATCCCTCTGGAGTGGCGGGTGCAGCCTGGCACCCTCTCCCGAGCAGGGAAGGGGGGTGGGATGGCAGGAGGTGACAGGCAGCAGCTGTCACTGTGGCCATGTGCTGCTCATGAGCCGGGCAGCAGGACACGGCCCCGGGATACAGGCAGGGCAAAGCCGGGAGTGCCCACATCCAAGGGCTCCCATGGGATGCTCCCGCCCTGAGTCACCACGGAAGCACTCCAGGGGTCAGCGGGATCGGGTTCCTGCCGTCCTGCTCCAGGCGCTGAGTTGGCTCCGTGCTAACTCAGGGTTTGGGGACAGGAGCTGCTCCAAAAGCTCTGAGAGGATCCCTGGGAAGGGACAGCAACAGCCAGATCCCAGCACGGCAAATCCACGGGACAGCAAATCCACGGGACAGGCAGCAGCATTCCAGCCGGCTGGAATTCCAACCCCGACGGCAGGGAGGAGCCGAGGAGCCCGGAGCCAGCCCGAGGCTTTTCGGTGACAGCTCAGGGTGACCTTTGAAGGTGTTTTTAATCATCCCCGTGTTTTGCTGCATTAAGCAATCCCGGGGGTGCTGTGGTTTAACCCTCCCTGTGCCACCTCTGGATAAGGGATCTCCTCCTGCTTCCACTGGTGGGGAATCACATCATGGGAATAGTTCAAGTTGGAGAAGCCCCCTAAGATCACTGAGTCCAACCCGGTGCTGCCAAGGCCACCACTAACCCACGTCCCCAAAGTGCCACATCCACACATCTTTTAAATCCCTCCAGGGATGGTGATCCCACCACTTCCCTGGGCAGCTGTGCCAGGGCTGGACGACCCTTGCCATGAAAAATTTTTCCTAACGTCCGATCTCGACTTCCCCTGGTACAACTGAAGGCTGTTTCCTGTTATCCTGTCAAACCAGAGGGAAGCTGAGGCACGGGGGTGCTGTGCCCTGCACCGGGCACACAACCTGCTCCCAGGCTCCAGCTGGCACAGGGCAGGCAGAGGGTCTCCGGGGGAAGGAGATAATACCCCAGGAGTGGGAAGATGGGTGTGCTGAGCACTAATCCCCCCTCCCCACACTGGTGCCGGCGCTTAGTCAGGTGTGGGGAAACCATCCCTTATCAGATGAGGTTAAACAAACACCATCACAGGAACACAACCGAGGCACCTTCACAGGCAGCAGGGAAGCCCCAGATCCAGGGAATTTCGGTGGTACCTGCCAGACGCTGCTGGCCAAGGTCTGGGGCATCCCCGACACCCCCGGCCTCACCCCTGCCTGCTCCAAATTTCAGGCTTTGGCTCATGTCAGGACAAGTGCTGGAGCGACCCCCCTGCTGTTTGTTCCCTGGGGTTTCTCCCACCCACTGTCCCGGCACTCCCAGTCTCCAGCCCGTGTCAGGAGGAACCATCCTGCAGTGACATGGCTGGGGGACCACCAACTCTCCCCCCAGCTGCAGAGCAATCCCGCTGTCCCTGGGGAAACCTGAGGGAAGGGGGAATGCAGGAGCAACAGGGAAAAAAATGCGATTTTTTTGGTTTTTTTGGTTTTTTTTTTTTGGAGAGGGGAAAACAAGTCTTGCAAATAGAGGCAGTTCCCAACTTTTCAGGACACTCAGGATGTTGGACTGACACTGCAGACCGCTCTGGTTGCCTGAGAGGGTCAGGGAGATCATGCAGAGCTCCACAGACACCCCAGTTTTCCACACTGGACTCCAAATGCAAAAGCGATGCCAGACACTTCCAGAATATTTGGGTTAACGGGTCATCAGAGATCCTATAACCGGCCTGGGAACAGCAGCACGAGCCAAACAACAGGACAGAACTCCCAGAGGGCCCCCATCCTCCTGCCAGCCCCCCACCACTCACACCGCCGGGCACATCCCATCACCCCCTGCCTCAGTTTCCCTTTGTCCCCGGTTCTGCCCTGCTCCCACACACATCACAGCTCCCGGAGGGATCGGCAACACCAAAACTTCCCTGCCCAGCCCTCCAGTGCCCCTCCAGGAGTCTGGAGATGCTCCCAGCACCCCCCACCCCCCACTCCCCCACCACGTCCAACCTCCCGCATCCCGGACGGTCCCTCGACGTGTCCCGACTTGTCCCCTCCCTGCAGCCGGCCGGGGGTGGGAGGTGTCCCCGGGCGGGGGGGGGGACAGCAGCGATGCTCGGGGGACACCCCCAGCCCCTCCCGGGCGGGCTGCCCCCCCGTGTATCCCCCCGGCAGCTCCTCCTTACCTGCCCGCCCCGCCGGGTCCCGCAGCCCCGGTGCTCCTCCAGGGGACACGGCGAGCCGGCCACGAGCATCGCGGCGGGGGGTGGGCGGCGGGGAGACCCCCGGAAACCCCCAAAACCGCCCTAAAAGCCCCCCGGACACCCCCGGGCTGCGCAACGACCCCCGGACCCCGCGCCCGCCCCGGTTACATAGGGCGGGTGGGGACACGCCCCCCAGGCGGCCTCCACCAATGGAAATGCGGGGGCGTGACCACCAAGCTCAGGCCGGGCCAATGGTAGCGCAGGGGCGGGGCCAAGGCACAGGCATCAGGTCAACCCGCAGCCGCCAGCGGGAGCTCCCCCCGCCCTCGGGACACTTGGGAGTGTTGGAATTGTCTCCTGCGGGCAAAGGGAAAAGAAAACTGGTGGAAACCCCCTCTGCTCCCCTCAGTGAGAGGGGAGCTCTCATCGGCAGAGCTGCCTCCGGCCCCGTGGACCAGCATCAGATTGACCTGGAGCTGCTGGAGCAATTCCAGAGGAGGCCACGGAGATGCTCCGAGGGCTGGAGCCCCTCTGCTCTGGAGCCAGGCTGGGAGAGCTGGGGGGGTTCATCTGGAGAAGAGAAGGCTCCAGGGAGAGCTGAGAGCCCCTTGCAGGGCCTAAAGGGGCTCCAGGAGAGCTGGAGAGGGACTGGGGACAATGGATGGAGAGACAGGACACAGGGAATGGCTTCCTACTGCCAGAGGGCAGAGTTAGACGGGATATTGGGAAGGAATTGTTTCCTGTGAGGGTGGGAAGGCCCTGGCACAGGTTGCCCAGAGAAGCTGTGGCTGCTCCTGGATCCCTGGAAGTGTCCAAGGCCAGGCTGGATGGGGCTTGGAGCAACCTGGGATGGTGGAAGTTGTCCCTGCCCATGGGGGTGGAATGAGATGGGCTTTGAGGTCCTTTCCAACCCAAACCACTCTGGGATTCTGTGAAATGGCACATGAGGACCCTGCACACCTTCCCAGGCAGGTTCTATGTCCAAAATCGCTGAGCTGCCCTGTCACAGAATCACAGAATACCCTGAATTGGAAGGGACCCACTAGGGTCATGAATTTCAACTCCTTGCTCTGCACAGGACAACCCCAAAAATCCCCCCTCTGCACACAGAACCATGTTCCAGCCCTCCAGCCACTCCAGTGCTCCCTGCCATGGAACACTTTGATTAACCTCAAGCAGAGGAGCCCCAAGAATTGAGCAGTTTTCCCCTCCCAGTCTCTACAAGGTCCCAGCCCAGCTCCCGTCCCTTTGGATAAACACCAAGCTCAATGAAAGAGCTGTAGAATCCCAGAATGGTTTGGGTTGGAAGGGATCTTAAAGCTCCTGTCCTCCCACCCCCCTGCCATGGGCAGGGACACCTCCCACTAGCCCAGGTTGCTGCAACGTGGCTTTGAAAAAAAAAAAGGCGAAAAGAAAAAAAAAATAAGAACAATAAAGGAAAAAAAATGAAAGAAAGGGGAAAAAAACCCACCCCCACAAGCACGGGCAGCCCCAGACACAGCACTGGTACTGCTCTGGCACTGCCTGACAGCCTGACATGGCAAAGTCCAGCAAATGGGAATTGCTGCACAAACAACTCCGGGTTTGCCTGGCAACAGCCTCCTCCAGCTCTGTCCTGAGCTCCTGCCAACAAAGGGAACATGTCAGAGCCCCACGGCCAGCACAGCCACAGCAGCCCCCGCAGGGAGGGAGCACATCCCAGTTTCAGATGTCCCTGGTCACTGCTCCTTGTCCTTGTCCCCTTCCCGGGGCTATTTTTAGGGTGTTTCGCAAACACGAGGCTGTTTTTTTAGGGTGTTTTGCACCGAGGGTGTGGGGTCTGTGTGGCTCTGGCCACCCCGAGGTTTCTGCTTCTCTTCTGCCACCTGTGTCACTTCAGAGGCACAATTTGGGGGTTTCATTGCAGCTGCTCTCGGGGGACCTGGCCCTGCACTGCCCTGGGGCTGGAGGGGCTGATTCAGCCTCTGTCCCCTCGGTCCAGCTCCAGCAGCAGCTCCTTTGGCACTGGACACAGAGAAGCTGTGGCTGCCCCATCCCTGGAAGTGCCCAAGGCCAGGTTGGATGGGGCTTGGAACAACCTGGGCTAGTGGAAGGTGTCCCTGCCCAGGGCAGGGGGTGGAACAGGATGAGCTTTAGGGTCCCTTCCAACCCAAACCATTCCAGGATGATTCTGTGATTCCCCCTGAGGCTGCAGCTCTGTGTTTGCTCTGGCTGAACACGTCAGCCTGGAGTGGAAAATCCATCTCTTCCTCTGCAGCACTGAAGGTAACACAGTGTAAGCAAAGCAGGGCAGGGGGGCTGCCTCTGTTCCCCCTTTCTGCCCCCCAAAAAGCTCTGGCTATGAGGGGGACAGGCTGAGATGGACCTGGGCACCCCAGGGCTGGGGAGTGTGTCAGGCCCTGATCCAGCTGGAGATGCTGCCAAGTATTTAATACAAAAATATCCCATCAGAAGACACGGAGGGCTGTGCCAGGAGGATATTTATCCCTGTGTGCTGAGCAGGGGCAGGAGGGGCAGAGCACGGCTGGGTGGGCACTAACCCACGGCCCCAAGTGCCACATCCACGTGGCTTTTAAACCCCTCCAGGGGTGGGGACTCCAACAGTGCCCTGGGCAGCTGTGCCAGGGCTGGACAACCCTTTCCATGGAGAAATTTTCCCAAAATCCAACCTGAGCCTCCCCTGGCACAGCTGGAGGCCGTTCCCTCTCCTCCTGTCCCTTGTTCCCTGGGAGCAGAGCCCGACCCCCCTCTGGCTCCCCCCTCCTGTCAGGGAGTTGCAGAGCCAGAAGGTCCCCCCTGAGCCTCCTTTTCTCCAGGCTGAGCCCCCCCGGCTCCCTCAGCTGCTCCAGCCCCTTCCCCAGCTCCATTCCCTTCTCTGGACACACCAAGTCCAGCTCAAGTCCTTTTCCCACCAGCCTCACTCAGAGCACTTGACATCTCTTCCCCTTTTTGTCCCACTTTGAGCTCATTCCTCCAGGAAATACAACTGCAGGAGGGTTTTCCACACTGGCTGATTCCCAGCCAGGCTCGTTACAATATTAATGGAAAAAAGGTGGCAAGGGAGAGGCAAAACTTCCTCGAGAACAAACCCAAGACCCTGTTTCCAGAAACAGCAATCCTGGGAAACACACACAAGAGCAGGTAATTATTTGGGGTTTGACAGAGCCCTGGTCATCATCCTGCTGACTGGACAAGCCTGGTGCTCCAGGAGAGCTAAACAGGAAGGGAAGGCCGATTGCTCAAGGTGTGTCACCCCAGAGCAAGGTTGGCTGGGGACAACGCCTGCCTTTTGTCACCAGCCAGCAGTTTTGGGCAGCCCAGACCCCCCAGACCCACTGGGGCTTGGTGGGCTGGAAGAAGGAAGCCCAGAGCACTCGTGGGGTGGAGAAGGGAACTGGAATCATGAAATAGTTCAGGTTGGAAAAGATCTTTAAGATCATCGAGGCCAACTGTCCCCCAGCACTGCCAAGACCACCACTGTCCCATGTCCCCAGGTGCCACATCCACATGGCTTTTAAAGCCCTCCAGGGATGGGGACTCCACCCCTGCCCTGGGCAGCTGTGCCAGGGCTGGACAACCCTCTCCTTGGAGAAATTTTCCCTAATATCCAACCTAAACTTCCCCTGGCACAGCTTGAGGCTGTTCCCTCTTATTTCCTCCACAGCTTGGAGCTGTGGAGGGTCAGTGATTCCCAAGGCAGGGAAGGCAGATGGATGTGGCTTTGGCAGCATAAACACATTAGAAACAGTGGTTTGTACTGGTCTGTACTGGTGAGTGATCCCTGTTGCTCTGGGAATAGCAGCAGGAGGGAGCTGTTATCCCCATGTGCTCTGGGAGCTGGATATAGGTGAGGGGGGTCACAGCCAAAACACCTTTGGACTCCTGGGCCAACTCTGAAGGTTTTCTTGGAAGAAGACAAAGGGCAGCTGAGTATTCTTCATGGCAATGTCATGGAAAGAGGGCAAAGCTCCATGACAAAGGAGTAGATCTCACTGGCTGTGTCGGCTGGACCCCTTTACCCAGATCGGGAGCAACACTGAACACTTCCCATCCCTAAAACCCCAATTCCTCACTTCCCTCACCTCTGGAACAAGGCCTTGTGCTCTCCTCTCCTGCCTCAGCCACCAAACACAAAGTCACTAAAAACTTTATAAGATTTGAAAATCCTCGGTGTTGGCTTTTTTAAAGACAATTTTGAAGCCTGTTGCCCCCAGGTCGTGCTGAGCCAGCACTCCCAGAAAACCCAGGAATTAGAGAGGAGTGGAAGGGAGAGTGTTTGTGGGTAATTACCAGCTGGTTAAATTGGTTTAATTCTGCTGCAGGTTCAATCCTGCTGTGGGTTCAACTCTTCTGTCAAGCTGCAGAAGAGTTTACATTCATTTCCATACTAAAGTTTCAGATCCTTGCCCTGGGCCCTGCAAGTTTGGAAAGGAAATATTTATTCAAGTAATTACTTTAAAAAAAACCAAAATCTAATCCTCCTGGTTGGCAGAGCTCAGGAAATGCTTTGCAAGAGGGTTTTGTCGTGCCCTGAAAACCCAGCCACCTCCAGCTCCCCAGGGCAGCTTCTTGGAGCTTCTGGATCTTCAGGAGGGATTTCTGCTGGAAACAGGTGAGGGGCAGCCAAACCTCAGCTCATGGAATGGGCAAAAACACTGACCAAAAACCGGAATTCTCAATTTTGACTTTGATTTCATCACTAGCAGGTGGCTGAGATCAGTCTGGAATATGAGCAACGTGGTCTAGTGGAAGGTGTCCCTGCCCAGGGCAGGGGGTGGAACTGGATGGGCTTTAAGGTCCCTTCCAACCCAAATCATTCCATGATTCTAAGAAACCTGGGATGAGAACCCTGCCCAGTGCACACCATCAACCTCTGGCATGAGATGCCAAAGAAACTTGAAGGGATAACACAGAGACTGGAAGAACAACATGATGAGGAAGATTTCATAGAAACTGTTTTTCTTCACTGCATTTAACTCTCCATTTGGGCGTTTGTCACAATTAATGATTCCCAGAAAAGGGGAATGTTTTTCGTGTGCAACTCCAGGCTTTGAAAGAAAATCATACAGAAATTGCATTTTGAGCTGGAAAAGCTGCTGTGGGGTTTTTCCAACAGAACCAGGGTTTGCCTTTTCCCACCCTGGGAACAGACATCCAAGGCCGTGGCAGCTCCTTGGCCTGGAGTGCTGCTCCTCTTCCCAGGATCCTGCACCCCCAGCACAAAGAAAGCACAAAATGAGCCTTGTGGGTCCCTTCCAACTCAGGATATTCCATGATTCCATGAAAATTCTGAACTACACTCCCACGAGGACCTGGGGGGCATTTCCCAACGGAAATCTCTGGGGAGGTTTTTGCCCTCCCAAATTTCTGCTGGAAAACTGGAAGCTTTAAAAAAAACCAACCAGCACCAAACCCCCACATTTTCCCCCCAGATTTATGGCTGAGGGAAAGACTTTAGAGACACACAGGGGGGTTCACTCACCTCAGGTCTTAAAAAGAAACAACTCCCTTATCCTCACATTTTGTTTTTCCTGCTATTGTTTCCCCGCTCTGTCTTTGTGTGTTCGGGGGAAGAAAACAGGGAATAAATCTTGGATACAGCTGGATGGGTCCTGGGAAGCTGGATGTAACCAAGTAACAGGGCTCCTAGCAACAGGCTTGATGGGAGGATTTAAAGATAGAAAGAAAAGTAGGAGCAAAGCAAACAATGGGAAAATGCCCGACTCCTTCCCAGATAAATCAGCTGCAGGCAGGGGAAAAGGTGCTTTGGTTGTTTTGTTTTTCCTTTCTTTTTGTTTTTGTTTTTTTTTTAAAGCAAACAGAAATTCCGAGCCGCAGATGAAGGGGTTTGGTGTTTGTTTTCTTTTGTTTGTTTGTTTGTTTGTTGTTTTTTTTTTTTAAACCACTTTTACAGGTGTCAGTTTGTACAAATCCAAGCGTCCCTTGAAAATCCAGGTTATTACAAACATACAAAGAAACGATGTTTGGGTGCTACAAATCAGCTACACCAGGGCAGGAGAGCGATTCCTCACGATTAAAAACCCCCAGGGAACGGTATTTACAGGGCCCTCTCTCCCTCCTTGTTGTTTTTTTTTGGTTTTTGGTTTTTTTTTAAAATTTCTGTGTCTCGAGGGGAAGCGGGGGAAAAAAAAAAAGCGAAGCCCCCCCTCCCTCCCCCTTAAAAAAAACCCAAACAAAAACTCCCCCCAGTGCACCTCGTGTTTTTCTAAAAAGTATAAAATTGGGTGAGTTTTTTTTTCCTGCTGTCACGCTCTCGGCGAAGTGTGACAAGTTCTGGTTTTGCTTGTTTTCACGTCAGAGGTCTCTTAGTAAAAACATAAAAAAAAAAAAAAGAAAACCAAAAAGAAGAAAAAAACCTACATGGCAGTGTCCAATGAAAACGTGCTCCTTCCGTGCCAGAAGCCAACATCATCCCAAAAAAGTGCCTTTTGAGTAAAATCGACTTTAGTAACAAATAAAAAAAAATAAAACCCACAAGAGGGTGAAAAAAAAAATAATAATCACAAGCTCTGTTTAAAAGCTTCCTCAAAGCCCTGACGGAGCGGCCGCCCTGCAGCAAAAGGATGAGTTCTCTTACCTGCCTTCACTCCCTGCTCGGGGGTCTCCAAGCCCTGAGATGTTTCTCCACCCCCTGCCCGGATTTCGGGATGCCAAGGAGCTCCTGCCAGCCTGGAGCTTCCCCTCCAAGTGCCTTTTTTCCACCAAAAGAGGCGCCTGGGGGGCCCTGGCCTGGCTGGAAGGGTCAGTGGTGGCTGTGCTGTTTCGGGGCAGCACATCCCTGGTACAGGGAACTCTCATAGCCCTTTGATCCTGCTGGTTTGGAATCAGCAGTGAGAAAAATCCCTGGAGAGCCCCCCCCCCCCAAAAAAAACACTCCCTGGCTCAGGTGGCTGCCTGAGTAAGTGCTTTCCTGGAGCCAAGCTGGCCCCTGCATCTGGAAGGGGCAGGGAAAGGGGGGAGAAGAGGGATCACACCAAGCTGCAGAAGTCATCGAAGCCCCAAAGGTCACCACGTAACCAGGGAGCTGGTGGGGGGAATTTGGGATGGGTTTGGGGCTGTATCGTTCCACTCTGGCTCCCAACCCAAAAGCTCTCATCAGAAAAACAAGGAAACACAAAACCAGGCAGTTTGGTCTGTCGAGTTGACAGAGAAAAGAAGAAGAAGAAAAAAAAAATCCAAAACAAAACACACACAAAAAAATCTTCCAAGATAAATACACAGCCCCCATTTTGGAAGCATCTTCAAAAAAACTGGATCAACCGTTTGTCAGCAGTGGCACAACCTCCCAGGAACATCTGTTGGGCTGGTGAGTTCTTGGCTCCCTTTTGAAGAGGGAACAGTTCAAGGGGAAAAAAGAATCCAGCTCCCACCACACCCAGCTCCCGCTTTATCTGCGGGACAACTGGCCACAGCAATTCCCTCGCAGCAGCAGGCTGGGAACCAGCAAGGAGCCCCTAATGCAGCAGGTTCCTGTTTGCTCATGGAAAGGGCTGGCAGTGGTAGCAACTGGCTAGGGAAAGATTTCTCCCAGAAAACAGTACTTCAGGGGGGATTTAGGAAGGCCTGGGACCTCTCCCTGTGGATGGAAACCGGCCACGCTCGAGCATGCTGTCGGAAGGCAACACACATCAGGAATTCCCATGGAGTCCACGGCAGTGGGACAGTGACAACACGGAGGTTTTGGCTTCCAGGGATCCAGCAGGTCTCCCAGACTCCTTGGCTAATGCTGGGGAAAGCTCCCAGACTGGGGGGTTGGCTTTAAGGGGAGGTTATTGCTCCCGACTTCTCCGGCTTTTTGCCTTTCGACAGGGCAGCCGCTTGCTTCAGGAGTTCTCTGTTCTTGGCCTGGGAACAGGGAAAAGGGGTGTTTAAGGGTATGGATCAGCAGCAGCTCTTGGGTTCCCAGAATTGCCTGGGCAGGAGCTGCTGGCATCCTGCACAGAGGTGGAAAAGGAGGCAGATGTTGAGCTCACCTCTGACCACCTAGAAGGGGCTCTCCCATCCCAGCCCCCCCCAGAAAGGACAAAGATAAAATATTAAAACCTGAGAGCCTGGTCAGAAAAGGATCCATATGAACAATTCAAGGCACCTACAGTACACTCTGAGAGGATTTGAGTTTTATTCTGGAATCAGTGAAACTTCCAGAGCACCAGCCAATACCAGCAGAAAACACTTGGACACCAGAGATCAGGGCAGTCCCAGCCAGAGCTGGGCCCAACATGGAAATCCCCAGGAGAGGCAGGTGGCTGGGACACAACTGCTCCTGGAGCTGATGCTTCCTTCTCCTCCCTCACAGGGAGCAGGAGGCACAGCCAGCCCTCTCCACACCACACACAGATATTCCAGCCTTCAGCCAGGCAGAAGGATGAGCATGGTCAAGGGGATATCACAGCCACCAGCACTCTGACAGCAGCTGGAGGCTCCAAAACCTGCCCTGCACTGGGATACTTCCCCGGGAATGTTGGATGGAGGAGGGGCTCTTTCCTCAGAGGCAACAGAAGCCTTTTGTCTCATCCCCTCCCACCTCTCATCGCTGGGGCTTTAGATCTTTATATACCCAGAGTAATTAAAGGGTGCAAAGTTCATTTCTCTGTCTGATTTCTCCCCCTTTGACCTGATCCCTTCGATGGCTCGGGCTATTCACGCTGATAATCGCTGTTGTCTCCACAGCCCTGGCAAAAATCCTGCTCTCCCTCTTCCCTCCAGCTCAGGGACTTCTTTATTTGGACTAGAGAGATACAGGGCTAAAGGAACTGCCAATCGTTCCTTTGTTCTCCCTCCTTACTGGTCACACCAATCACAAGGAGGCGATTTAGAGGTGCAGGGAGCTCACAAAAGGTTCTGCAGGCTGGAAAAACAAGTTCAAACCTGATTTTGGCAATAGGTAAAATGAGTCTGATGGTTTCAGCCTAGTCCATGAGGGACACAACACAGCACTTTACAACACAGTAAGTGTGAAATGGAGGTTGGAATGCAGTGCAGAGGCTGTAGGACAGGGATGAGAAGGATTAACAGCCGTGTGTGCAGGAGCTCACGGGGTGTTGTGATCAGGAGTGTCCTCAGTCACTCCCAGATAAAGCACAGCCCAGCAAATTGACCCAAGAGTGTGTCACCTGTAACTGCTCCATGACCTCCTTGTGTGTCTTCTCCATCTGGTTCATCTTTGCCCTCATCTGTGATTCCTGGTACTGCAGGTCGGCTTTCAGCTCCGTGATCTGGGAAGAAACCAGGAAGGAGCAAGGGAGCTGGAAGAGGCAATGAATTCCCTCCCCCCAGACGCTCCCTGCCACGGAAAACACCTCTGCAGAAGGTGTGTGAGACTGGCTGAGGTCAGAGACGTGCTGGGGGAGTGCAACCACACCAGAACCCTGTCCCTGAGCAGCACAGGGACTGCAAGCAGCAGCATGTTCACTCCCAGTCTTGCCCACACACAGAGGTCTCCAAGAGAGTGGTCAGGAAGTGACCCTTTATGAAATGAGATCTCCTGGGTGGGTCCAGAGAGCCTCTTGGCTTTGGACAGGAGACAGCCTGCAAACAGCCAGACATGCTCTTGCTCACTCCAAGATAAAAAGCCAGGCTGTGTCTTGGAGTGTGATCTGTGAGAACATTCCAGCCTGCTGGGGGGGAAGCAAGCCAAGGGCTGTACCTTCTTCTCCTTCTCCAGAATCATCTGATCCTTCTGGTGCAGCATCTTTTTTAAAGTAGCCACTTCCTCCTTCAGCTGGGCAATGATGACAAAGTGGTCGGTGCCAGGGGAGTCCAGGGCGAGGTCTGGAGAAAAGCTGCAGCAAAGCACAGGGAGAGGCTCTCAGCACAACCCTCACTTCCACTGAGTCAGGGGAAACTCCCACGGATGCATTCGGATGGGAATCGTTTCAGGATCCTTCAGGATCCTTTTTCAAACCAAAGAGCTGAAGACAGCAATCAGAGAAATACTGAAACTTTTATGATCCCTCTGGAACTCCTTTGCTCACAGGCAGTCCTTGGATGCACCGCAGAACTTCCCACTGAATGTAAACAAACATTCTGGCAGGGAGGGGACATGAAAGAGAAACAAATAACGCCCAAGTTCAACAAACAGAGCAAAGGGAACAGCTAAATTGAAGTCAGCACTGTCCTCAGCAGGAAAAAGGGGTAAAAAACATGCTGGACTTTGTATTTTGGTTCTGCCACGGTAAAGCAATTTAGGGAGAAGCTTCATTATCTCAGAGCAGGAAAAACTCTCTGGGAAGACAGAGAAATAGCTGAGCACATCACCTGTACACCACCAGGTCTCTAATCATAAGCAACCAGCTGGGAACTTATCTGGACTGGTAAATCACAAACCTCCCTACGAGACACCCAGTGACCCGGGGCAGCCACACACAGTCCTGTGCTGCAGGAATATTCTGGATCATAAGATACCACAAGCTGCAGCCAGAGGCCCAGGGAGCTCACCCGATTTTTCCCTGCCCTCTGTTCCACCCCTAAGGCTGTTTTTTATCTCCTGGTGCTAAGAGGGCAGTGCACTCCCAGCCACACACACCTGAAACTGCTGTATAAAAACTGAGCAGCAATGAGACAACAAAGCCTAACCTAGAAGATGGACTTCAGGTCTGGCTGTTATCAGATAAATAAAGATAAATCGCCAGGGTCACCTGGAGCCTGACTCTTTTTTTTTTAAAGCCTCCAGAGTAGGTCATCACTGAGCTCTAAAGCTGGGAGCTGCAGCAGGGTGTGGCAGGCACGTGTGGAAGGCACGGTCTGAACCCAAAATTCTGCCTCTCTCAAGGATGTTTCCACCTCTGAGCTTTCAGTTCCCCACCAAGGCAGAGAGTACCCACTGCTCACCTCACACGGGGTCTCCTCTAGCGCCTGGAAACGATCCATTTCCTAATTAAAAGCACAGCCTGCTTTGACTGGACTCGTTAGTGAGGATGTGGCAGGAGAAAGGCTCCTTCCCCCACTGTGCTGGGGATCTACAGAGGGGAACTAAGCAGAGGCAGCTTCCCAGATCTGAGAGTCAGAGGATGGCCCTGAGGCGCTGGGAAAGAAAGCTTGGCAAAGGAAAACTCGGGGCTGAGGGGCTGCAGGAGACAGCCCGCGGTGGAGGAGCCTGGCATGGCTAAAACATGCTGACAGCAGAGCCCACACCGAGATGTGGCAGCACTCTGGGCACGCTGGATCCATTTTAAAACTGTTCCCGAGTAGTTTTCCCAAGCGCAGGCTGTGCAGGATGATGGTGGGAGCTCCATCACCTTCCTGTGTGCAAGCACGTTACCAACAGCAGCTTTAATTTCCCACTCAGTGCAAATATGCTGGGGAGGAGAGGGAGAAATCAAAAAAACCCCAGCCTCCACGGAGAAAAAAAGGCTTCCTCACCATTCCCTCTGGCTAAAAACAATCCCTTGACACACCATTCCTTTGCCCAGGCACGCTTCCCTCCTGCCGTGCCCTGGGGGGATAAAGAGTGCTGGGAGATGCTCCCATTTCCCTGAGCAGCTCCAGCAGGAAAAATTCCCTGCTTGGCAGCTCCTGCTGCCCAGCACGTCGTGGAGCAGGGAAGGTGAGAGCCAGCCCTGCCACCCAGTGGGGAGAAGGGACAGGAGGGACACCAACCTTCCACAGAGCACCCACCAGCTGGGAACGAGGGCTTGGAGTTATCAGGGATCCCCTGCTGGGGGGGGGGAGATAAAGTATAAATAAATATCAGGCAGGTACTTTCCTGTCCAGTTGCTGCAAAATGCCCCCTCAAATATGTCAAGGTGCTAATTAAAAAAGCAGCTTTTTTTTTTTTTTGATTCCCTCTTCTTTTATATTTTTTGAAGGCTGACAAATGAAAGGTTCCTCTGTCTTTAAGGGAGCAGCCTGAGACTCCAAAACTGGAAGGAAAACTGCCAAATGCAAGTCACTTCATTCCTTTAAAAAACAGATCAGGAACTAAAACAACCAAGCAAAAAAAAAAAAAAAAAAAAAAAAAGAGCCATATCCTCTATACAAATACACTCAGCATCCCTGGGCTAGGTCGGTGGGCATGTGCTCCCCCTGTTCAAACAGCCGAAAATGCACGTTGCTAATTAAAGGGGAATTGATGAGCTCCCGTTGTTTTCAGTGCAGACAGAGGACAAAAATGGAGCTGTTCCAAAGGCACCTGGCTCTCTATTGACTGGAACAGAAACCAAATTGACTGCCTTAAACTCCACACCTGTTAAATGGCTGAAATTAGGCAAAGCAAATGCCAAGCTTAAGGATTTTGCTATTCAAGTCAGGCTGGCGTGAAGAGGCACAGATCAGGCATGGAACCAGCAGCCAGGCTTCACCTCAGACAAAACCCACCTAGAATACAGCAGCCAGCCCTGGGCCCCCAACACCAGGAGGGCCTGGAGCTGCTGGAGCGAGTTCAGAGGCCACAGAGATGCTCCAAGGGCTGGAGCCCCACTGCCCTGGAGCCAGGCTGGGAGAGCTGGAGAAGAGAAGGCTCCAGGGAGGCCTTGGAGCCCCTTCCAGTGCCTAAAGGGGCTCCAGGAGAGCTAGAGAAGGACTGGGGACAAGGGATGGAAGGACAGGACACAGGGAATGGCTTCCCACTGCCAGAGGGTAGGGTGAGATGGGATATTGAGAAGAAATTCTCCCCATCCCTGGAAGTGTCCAAGGGAGCAACCTGGGCTAGTGGAAGGGGTCCCTGCCCGTGGCAGGGTGGAATGAGATGGGCTTTAATGTTCCTTCCAACCCGAACCATTCTGGGATTCCAAGAAAAACATCTCTCACATGCAAAACTCCATCCAGGCCAAAGGACCAGCATCTGGACCTGCACTCCCCCCACCACCCCAAAAGCTGGTGCAGTTCAGCCCAAGTCCCACAGTTTTAATCTTTTTAAAGCCAGGACTCTTCTATGCAAATGAGAACCTTTTCTGTGCAAAATGAGGACCCTTTTACAAGGCAACTTTGCCGCTGAGCACCCTCAGGCACCGCTGCCCTCCCCCAGCTGTCGCTGCCTGGTGTTAAAAGCCCAATTTAGCACCTTGTTTGCAGTGAGAGGAGAAGGGGCCACAGCCTGTTCCCTCTGCAGAGCCTGCAGTGTAAAAACGAGAGAGGATGGGGACATCAAAACTGCCCAAATGAGGACCAGGAGAGCTCCAGAGGCTGGAGGTGAAGCCAGAGTAGGACTGAGGGGCGGGATTAGTAAGGATTAGTAAAGCCAAGTCTGCTGCAAGATGTGCTGAGAGCACTGTGAGGGAAAACCACCGCCCCTGCAGCGGGGCCAGAGCTATTTGCTCCTCCCAGAGCTCCCCCAGGACAAACCATTCAACACCACCCTTTAAATGACTGTTGGGAATCGCCCTGTCCCCACAGTCACAGCCATTGGGAGCAAGAGCCACCCAAAATATGTAAGCAAACACATGCAGAGAGAATTCTGTAAGACACGGTAAAGGAATTCCTACAGTATCCAAAAAGGAGCGACGATTTCAGATAAGCTGGACCTTGTTGGAGGTGTTGCCAAAGTCAACTGAGCTCAAACATGCCCAAATTTTGCCCAGGTGAGGCTGCACCAGACTGTGCTGCTGCAGACCCCAACCCCATGCCCAGGCTCTGCCCCAAACTCCAGGCTGACTCTGGGGAGGACAATCTTACAGAAAATACTGTAAATGGGGAGGGTTTTAGGGGTTCATCCTCACAAAAAAGAAAAAAAACCAACCTCAGGAACTCCAAAACCCCATTCCATGAACCCCCATTATTATTCCACTCAAGACACATGTGTCTATTTAAGGCAGCTGCAGCTCTTGCCTTTTCTGCAGCACGTTGCTGGAGCTCTTTAGTTGCTAAATTTACACTCAGTTTGTTACTGGGATTCATAAAAAAAAAAAAAAGTCTGTAGCAAGGCCCACAGCCTTGGCAGGAGCCAGACTGACAATATCTGACACGAGAGCAGGAAGGAGGCACTTGATTGCTCCAATCCATGCTCCTGTTTTCTAAAGGAATGGCTTGAGCAACCCCAGAGCACTGGACATTTCAGGGTTTGGGTGTTTTTAAGCCAGCAGGGCTGTTACAGGGAGTTATGAGATCTCAGCCCAGGATTTAATGGGGAGATAAAAACACTTGGTGCTGTCCTACAGCCTCTCTAGAGGGAAAGCTGCAGCAGGACTGAAGGGCTGCCCCAGTTCTACCTGCAACCTGTGTCCAGCCTCTCCTTTGGCTCCAGCAGCGCTGAAGGGAGATGAATTCTGACCCCTCTGTGCTCAGCCACGGCTCCCAAGCTATATTTAATCCTTAAATTTTTTCAACTTTTTAGTTACAACACTGCTCAGGTGGTAAATGGTCTTGTAGACCACTCTGTGGGAGCCACTGCCCTACAAAATCACTGGAGGTCTATTTTAGAGAATCATGGAATGGTTTGGGTTGGAAGGGACTTAAAGAAGATCTCGTTCCACCCCCCTGCCATGGGCAGGGACACCCTCCACTAGTGCAGGTTGCTCCAAGCCCCATCCAACCTGGCCTTGGACACTTCCAGGGATGAGGCATTTCCCATGGGAGCATTTCAGACATCAACACTGACTGGGTGTCAACAGCATCTACAGCATCATCTCTGTGATCTCAGAGACATTCAAGGCAGGTGGTGATGAATTACCAGGGGCTTTACCAGACCCTTTGGCACTAACTACGCTCTGGTCCATGCTCCCAAATCCCTGCTGTTTAGAAAGAGATCCATGGAGAGGGAGAGTTCCCGTGTGTGAGGCAGTTCCCAGGGAGGGAGGGGAGAAAACAACAGGTGATCTCACTTCAGGATGTCAGTGCCTTGAGCAACAGGACAATGGTGGGCCCCGAGAGCCTGTTGGGAAGCAGCCCACTGCGCCAACGTGGACGGGGCCCTCTGGATAAGGGGGCAAAGCATCTCGGGAGAGGAAGGAACGCTGAGAATCAGAGAGGAAAGGCAGGAATGAAAATATGCATGTACAAGACCACAAAAACACAAATCCACCTTAATCTCCTGTTTTCGCTAGTGACCCCCATCCTGCTGCACAGGCAGCTGGTGACAACGTGACCCAGCACTGAGTGTGACAGCAGAATGGGGTTGGATGCTCTCACAGAATCATGGAATGGTTTGGGTTGCAAGGGACCTTAAAGCTCACTTCATTCCACCCCCCTGCCATGGGCAGGGACACCTTCCACTAGCCCAGGTTGCTCCAAGCCCCATCCAGCCTGGCCTTGGACACTTGCAGGGATGAGGAGTCCACAACCTTTCAAGCAAAGCTGTTCGGTTGCTCGTCCCTCCCCCAAAGGCAGGAGGGGACATGGGAGGTGGGTCTGGATCCTCTCCTGTCCTCCGAGGGTCTCCCTGCAGGAGCACAAACCCTGCAGGTGCTCAGTACTGTTTTCCTCTTCCAACCTGTGTCTAAATGCCAGGCAACACTGGCCTGCCAGGTTCTAGTGCAGCCCCTCGAGGGCCCAAAGCCCGAGATCCCTGCTCTGGCATAAGAGCTTCCTGCTGTTCACACACAACTCTGTCTTAGATAAACTCAGCAAACAAGCCCACCCACCCACAATTTCCCCATGTAACAAGCTCACCTGTCACCATTGGCAGATATGGCGTCAAACTTGGCTTTCTTCTTTGGGATTTCGTTCTGAATGGAAGAGGTGGATAAGGTTTTCTGGCTAGAAAAAAAGGAGGAAGTTGTATGTCAGAACCTGAATGACTTTCAGTCTAAGACAGAGAGAGGCAGATAAATATTCCCACCCACTTTGATCCCATTAAAACAATATTTCCCGGTGCAAGAAAGAGCGATAAAAAATTCATTCCTTGAAGAGTCGCTGGAGACTAAAAATAATCAGAAAACAATGAGTCAGGCAGAGCAGCACGTGGGTGAAGAACTCCTGCTGAAAAATCTGCATTTTAATCATTACATTCTACAAATGCAACTTCCATTGTGTACAAGTTCAGCAAGTCAGATCACAAGTCTGCAGCACAGTGGGGTTTAAAAACAAGCAAAGCCTGGCTTAGCCAGGTCCTCCTGCACTTAGACAGTGCCCAAAGCCTTCCCCAAGGTTACCTGTTGTAGTGGCTGCCACTGCTGAGCCTGCTGAACTGCTCCTTCTCCTGCAGGCTGGCCCGGGAAGAGCTGCTCAGGTGCTTGCACTGCTCTTTGGTCTTCTGCAGGACCCGTTTGTAGGACAACGTGCACAACCAGCACAGCAGCTTCCCATCCACCTGGAAAGGGAGGGAGAAAGGAGTTTGGGCCTTTTTTTCCCTGCTCATAAAGCAAATAGAGAAAAGGCAAAAAGCACCCTCAGGCTTAAGATCACGTATGAACAAGCAGGGACTCAAAGAGGATCCCCTGGATGGACACCAAACCAGCAAGAGGAGGCTCAGCAGGACAGGGATTATCAGAGCAGCCTCCTAAATGAGGAGATGTTTACAGTCTGCAGGAAGCAGGCCTTGGGAATACAAACATTGGGAATACACACCTCCTACAGAGCACTTAGGGTGTTTAAGCCAAGGCTGTGCAGAAGCCATGGAATGGGTTTCCTGGTACAACAGTTCCAGCTCCTTCCAAATATCATTCCCCATCCCTCTCCCCGAGCAGCACCTCGCTTCTCACTCAGAGGCCTCTGCTCCTCTGCCACCCCTTGGGATAAATCTAAGAGATCTTTCTCAGTAGGTCTGGCAGAGGAGCAGAAGGGGCTTAAAAATTAAACAGCTCTAAAGCACAGCAAAGCTCAACTCCCCAGAAACACTCCATAACCAAGGGACAACCCCTTTTGGAACCATGGAATGGTTTGGGGTGGAAGGGACCTTAAAGGTCATCCAGTCCCACCCCCTGCCATGGGCAGGGACACCTTCCACCATCCCAGGTTGCTCCAAGCCCTGTCCAACCTGGCCTTGGACACTCCCAGGGATGGGGCAGCCACAGCTTCTCTGGGCAACCTGTGCCAGGGCCTCCCCACCCTCCCAGCCAACAATTCCTTCCCAATATCCCATCTAACCCTGCCCTCTGTCAAGGTGAAGCCATTCCCCCTTGTCTGATCAGGAATGCTGGAGAAGCCGTGAAGGAGGTGGGCAGAGGATCACTGTGATGAGCCCTTTCCCCTTTCCAGCCTCCTTTTCCAGCAATACTGACCTTCTTCCTGTCGTCCTTCCTGTCGAAGGCACACTGCTGCTTGCACTGCTCACACGAGTGAGGGGGGCCATACTTCTTCTCCGAGTTGGTGCAACGCTGGCACTTGTTTCCAATAAATGCTGCTATGATGTTGCAGTACTGGCAGGGCTTTGGCTTCAGGAAACAAGAACAACTGATTAATACATTGCTCCTTCCCCTCCTCCCCCTAATTTCTAATTTTTCTTTCCTCATATGACGCTGATCCAAGAGACATAACTCCATTTGGACCCCTGGCCTCCAGCTGGGTGTATCTATCCATGGCACCCAAGTGCTGTGAAATCTTTAGAAAAACGTCTAACACCCAAACAGAACCAGTCCAAATCTCTATTTCAGACTTCAGACAGGCAGGAAATAAAGATTTATCACTGCTTCCTGCAGCAATCTCGGTCTGTAAGCACACTGCTGTTTCTGCTGGGTATCGAACAGATCATTTCCTGGCCTTAAATGATGCAAAGCTGCTCTTTTTCGGCGCTAAAAGAAGAGAAAAAGTCAAAGCTTCACGCTTGAGTGACCTGTGGTATTGATCAGTCATGCTCTTACAGCAGAGCCAGTCCATAAACTGCTCTGGGATTTCAGCAGGATAAAGACAAGAGAGATGAAAGGAAGGGAGGCTCATGAATCACTTACTGTGCCGTAGAGCTTCACGTTCTGAGCACACTTCTTGCATATTGTGTTGGTTTTGCTGTTAAAAAAAACAAAGGGCAGGTCATTCCACTGACACTTCCTGACAGAAAATGAAACTTCTGTGGTTGGGAATCCCAGGATCCCTGGGTGTGATCCCAGCCTCCCCTCTGCTCCATCTCTGGGACTCAGATATCAAAGTGCTCTTCCTAACCCCATCTGGCTGAGCAAAAGTTGCCAAAAAGTGGCATCACTAAGAGTTGTCTTTTAATTAAGGCATCCCCAGATGACACCAGTTTTTTTTTGTCCTTACGAACACAGGATTTGATCACTGACTAATTGGGAGCAGGAGTGATTCAGCACCATCCTGGAGGATGAGGGTAAGGCAGGTGAGGACAGAAGTGTATTTGTCAAGCAAACACAGGAAGGAACACCCCACTTGGCTCTGGGTTTACCAGTCCTCCCTCTGACTTGTCAAAATGCAAAAAGGCAAAAGCCCAGCTGAAGGGAACACGACAGGAAGGAAGTTCTGGGTACCAGAAATCAGGTAAGAGGAAAATTCGTGGGCAGAAACACCAGAGCCTTCACTGGAAGATGCATCTGAGCGCCGACCAAAAATAAAACCCAAGCAAAAGGTGTGACCCAAGGGCACTGCAGACACTGGGACTCGCCCAGCAGACCTTTGAAGGCGGGCAAAGGTCCCCCAGGTATTCCATGGCAGCAATTACGGCTCAGTCAGCAGAGGTGTGGAAGCACTACAGTCACCCAGGTGTGTCTGCTCCACAGGAAACATGGATCTGCCCAGCTCAGCAGGCATTTACCTTTCCTGCTGGAATTCAGTCCTGCAGTAAGTGCATTTAACAATGGGGTGAGCAATCCGGCACTCCTGCAAGGACACAGGGGTTCAGTGAGGTGCAGTGCTGCTCCCACGCTCCCATTCCCCAAATCCCACAGCTCCTGCTGCCCTCCACTCCCAAACGCTTCCTGCCTTTAGTCATGATGGACAAGGGAGGCTGGCAGGGATGTGTCACAGGTGAGCCAGGAGTGAACTGAGATCCATGACCGGGGCTTGTTTGTGCCCGAGCAGGGACACGGGGTGGCCTGGGCTCCCAGGGCAGGAACACACAATCCTGCCTCAGTTACTCACAGCTCTGCCCTCCAGCAGCTCCCGGTGCCTCCAGCCCTGCTCTCCTCCCATCATAGCTCTCTCAGGCTCCCCACACTCACCTGCTTTGCCCCAGAGATCCCACATTACTCCAGTTCCTGCCCCATCTCATCCCTGATTTCATTCTTCCCCACCTAGACTGTGCCCCAAAACCCACCTCCTTCTTTCAAGGTACCATCAGATCTCCCATTTGTGTCCCCAGACGCTCCCAAACCTCTCAGGACCCCCCAAACCCTCCACACCTCTCTCCTTGCTAAGAGCCCTCCTCACAAACAGCCCTTCAGGTGCCCCCAGGCCTTCCCTCAGGAACAGCCCCCCATGTCCCCCCAATATCCCCATGACTCCCACTCCAACACCCTCCAAACACCCCCAGCACCCCCAAACTGCCTTCAGTGCCCTCAGGTCCCCCTGACAAACAGCTCCTCTCAGCGGCTCCCCAGATACCCCCCTGACAGCCCCCAGGCTCTACCCCTTGCTCCAGCCCCTCCAAACCTCCCAAATGTTCCCAGGGCCTCACCTACACTCCCCCCCGCCCACCCCACAGACCCCAAATAGCCTCACAACTCCCCAGTCTCCATAGATACCCCCAGTGCCTCCTCACAAACAGCCCCTCAATTACCCTCAGTCCCTCTAAGAGCCCCCAGACCCCTCAAAAACACCCCCTGCCTGCCCTCCCTCACAAACAGCGATCCAAGGGGTAAAAACCCCTCAGCCCCCCCCCAACTACCTCACAGACAGCCTCTCCCAGCAGCTCCCTCACAAACTACCTCCCCAATTCCCTCATAGACCACCCCCTCCAATTCCCTGACAAGCTGCCCTCCCCAGCCCCCTCACAGACCGCCCCCCATCAGCCTACTCATAAACTGTCCCCCCCAAGCTCCCTCAGTTCCCTCACAACCCCCCACCCTCAGCTCCCTCACAGTTCCCTCACAAACAGCCCCCCAAAGACCACCCTCCACGATTCCCTGACAAACTGCCCTCGCCAAACTCCCCCATCAGCCCCCTCATAAATAACCCCCTAAGCTCCCTCACTCAGACTGCCCCCCCAAGTCCCCTCACAGCCCCTCAGTCCCCACACCGCCTCCCCCACGTCCCTCCCAGCCCCCTCAGCGCCCTCCCCCTCACCCCCCCGACCCTCCGCCCGCTCCCATCCCCAGTCCCGGACCTTGCAGAGCTGCTGTCCCTGGCTGAGCGCCTCGAAGGGGAAGCGCTGGTGGCACTTGGTGCAGGCGTACAGCGCCGCCATCCCGCCGCCCTGCTGACAGGCGCGGCCCCGCCGCCCCGCCCCGCAGGCCCGCCCCGCCCTCGACCGCCGCCCATTGGTTGCGCGCCGCGTCACTCATGCCGCAACAGCTTCTGATTAGTTTGAAGTGCCGTCAATCAGGGCGGGGGGGCGGGACGGAGCCCAACGTCACGTGGGAGTGGGCCTGCGGTGATGCAACCGCCCGGCCCCGCGTGACGCGAACCGCGGGGGAGGTCTCGCGAGATTTCGAGCGCGGGGGCGGGAGAACCCGGAAGTGGGGCTGGAATTGAGCTGGTCTTAACTGGGCTGGGACTGGGAACAGGGCTAGGCCAGGGCCGGGCTGAGACAGGGCCAAGGCAAGGGGCTGAGCTGGGAGAAAGACCTGAACTAAACCAGGGCCACAGGAGGGGGCTGGGCTGGGCTGTGCTGTGCTGTGCTGTGCTGGGCCAGAACTGGGAAAAGGAACTGAGCTAAGACAGGACCAGGAGAAGGGACTGGGCTGGGTCGAGCAGGGCTGGGACAGGGTTGGAAGAAAGAGCTGAGCTAAGCCAGGGCCACAGGAAGGGGCTGAGCAGGACCAGGGCCAGGCTAAGTGGAGTTGAGTCAAGGGAAGGGGCTGAGCTGGGCTGGACTGGGAGGAAGAACTGAACTAAGCCAGGGCTATGGGAAAGGGTTGAACTGAGCTGGGAGAAGGGGCTGAGCAGGGCCAGGCCAGGGCTGGGAGAAGGCAGCTGAGCTGGACCTGGGCCAGGCCAAGTGGGGCTGGGTCAGGCATAGGGGCTGAGCTGGGCCAGGGCCAAAAACCCATCCCTGGAGGTGGCTCTCAGTGCTCTGGGATGGGCGACAAGGTGGGGATGGGGCATAGGCTGGACTTGATGATCTCAGGGGTCTTTTCCAACCTCTGGGATTCTGTGAAGGGGCTGAGCTGGGCTGAGGGAAGGGTAAAGGAGGGGGAGGGATGGCAGGGCTAAACCAGGACAAAGTGAAAGGGAGATGAGGAACTGGAGTGTGGTGGGGAAGGGCAGAGGGAGGAATGGGGGCTGGAAGAGGAGTGGAAGCTGAGTTAGAACTGGGCTGGGGAGATGAGGAGCTGCTGCAGTGAGGGGAAGGTCTCTGTGGAGGTGGGTGAAGGAGGGTTAGGGCTGGGGGAAGGAAGGAAGGAAGCAGAAGGAGGTGGGGAGGAGGAGGGGATTTCTCCACCTTTAGGGCGAGCAGAGCCACAAGGAGACAGGGGCAGGGCAGAGGGAAAACTGTGGCTGGAGGGGTTGAGAGAAAGAGAATTGGAGGAAGAGGAAGGGAGAATGAGGCAGGAGGTGGTGTCTGCAGGGAGAGGAAAACCTCCACCTGAACTTGCTTCCCCCTTTGCTCTGGCTCCAGCAGCTGCAGCTGCTCACCCACCAGTCCCAGGCACAGCCAAGGCTGGGATTCCAGGGGTGGGTCTGCCCCTGGTGTGGGGAAGGGTCGGAGCAAACTGCAGCTCCCTGTGTTTGCAGCTTGGCAGCAGCTCCAGGTGGGAGCACGGGGGAGATTTGGCCCTGTTTCATTTCTGGAGTGGGGTTGGACTCGCTGCAGCCAGGGCAGGTCACACTGCACACAGACAATAAATGCTCATTTTTCTCATCCAGTAATTGTCATTTTGTACAATGTGACACAGGGGAGGTGCTGTGAGCTGACAGCCCAGAGGAATGGGGGAATTACAGCATTTTGGAGTTAAAAACTCACTCTAAAGCCAAGACAGAGCGAGCAAAAGGCAGTAACTACTCACAGTTGTGTTAATAAACCCACGGTGTGATCTGCTCCCTGTCCTCCTGCACCCTTCCCTCTCTCAGGCACTCAGGGATACCTTGGAATCTTTGGGAAACTTCTATCCTTACCTTTTTTTTTTTTTCCCCTACACCAGATGACAGAGTATTCCCAGTCCTGGCTGGTGCAATTGGAAGCTGAAATCTGAGCTGCTCAGGCTTTCCCAGGAAGGACCGGGGGAGTGTCTTGGGTTTTTAGCTTGGCTGCGTGGGTGTGCATAATAAACCCGGCTTCTGCTGTGCTTGGCTACCTCGGGGACTCGTTCTAATCACCGGGCAAATGTGCTGTGTGTAGGAGAAATGCTTAATTTCATGAAATTAGCCGCATTGTGCTGGATGCCGGGCGCTGATTGGGAAACATCCCGTCGGTGGGAAGCGGGAGGCAGAGCTTGGCAGAGGCGGGGGATGGCTGGGAACAAACCCCGCCTCGCTGCTCAGGGGCTGCCGCGCTCCCGGGAAGGGTTTTGGAGGACGAGGAGGAGGCGGAGGGTTGGGGCCGCCCGGGTTTTGGGGTTTGACAGCACCTGGAGGAGGGAACCGCCCGCGATCTGTTACAGGAAATCCTGGAATGATTTGGGCTGGAAGGGACCTTAAAGCTCATCTAATTCCACCCCCCTGCCATGGGCAGGGACACCTTCCACTAGCCCAGGTTGCTCCAAGCCCTGTCCAACCTGGCCTTGGACACTTCCAGGGATGGGGCAGCCACAGCTTCTCTGGGAAACCTTTTCCAGTACCTCACCACCCTCTGAGTAAAGAATTCCTCCCTAATACCCAACCTAACCCTGCCCTCTTTTAATTTGAATCCATTCCCTCCTATCCTACCAACTAAAGCCTAAAAGTCAGGGTGTGGGGGTGGGTGTGTGTGGAGTGGCAAAATACCTCGGGCTGAAAAGGAGAGGGAATGGTTTGGTTTGAGCCCGTGAACAACAGACCTGCCAGAGCAGGCGCCAAGGGAGAAGCATTTGGCTGAGGGAGAGCGTTTGTAAAGCTGCTACTGAGGGAAGTGTGAGAAGGAACCTTTAGGAAGCCGCTGCCTCGGTGATTTTCCAGGAGAGCTGCGCTGGCAGCAAAGCGGCTCCGAGCTTTGCAGAGCTTGGAAGGCTGCTCAGATTAATTGGATGCACCATTTCGTCGTGGAACGGTTTGGGCTGGAAGGGATCTTAAAGATTAGCTCATTCCACGCCCCTGCCATGGGCAGGGACGTTTATTTGTGCCCCAAACCCCTCTGGCTACTGTGTGAGACAGCAAAAGTGACGTGGGGTCCCCTGGATTGTGGTCTTTGCCATCCTAAAGTCTCAGGGTTTTAGGTAAAACACGTCCTTCCCCTCTGTGAACCACCTGCTCTGTCCTGGGGAGATCCAGCCCCCCTGGAACCCCTTCCCCAGGGTGTAGGAGTGTTGTTGGGAGCTCTCCATCAACTCCCCCCCTCCCCCCCAGGTCGTCTGGAGCATTTGAGAGCCAAGAAGTTGCCAAGGCAAGTTTGATTCAGCCCCTGTTCCCTGACACCGTCTGTGGTTCTCTGTAAATCACTAACAGATAATAATTTCATATTCTGGCTCTGCGTGTCCCCTGCCTGCTGAATAATTACCTTGTTTTGTGCGAGCCGTGAGAGGTTTTCACAGATAATTCATCCAGCGGGGAGAGGCAGCCAGATTTTGGGCTGGAGCACATTTTCTGGCCACCTGGCATTGCTGCACAAAGGTCTGTGCTGGAGCACAGCTGCCTCCGGAGGGAAGTGCCGTATCCAGGACAGCCGAGGGCAGGGCGAAGAACCAAACCCGGCTGAAATCCCGGCCGCCCTCCCTCGGAGGATAATTTAGCTTGGCAAGCCCAGCCCACCCTGAATTGCTGGATGTGTGGACAGATTGATCCCACAGATCTGGATGCTCTCAGCCGCAGAGAGGCCGTTTCACTGGAAACAGGATTCCTCCCAGGAGCGGTTTGTGATGGTGAGCTCTGTCTGGGCTCGCTCCCCACGGCCTGGCCGGGGCTGAGGGGGGGTTGGAGCCCAGTGTGGAGCTGGGATTGCCTCAAGGTTCCCATCCCCATGCCAGGGGTGAGTTGATGCGGGGCAGGAGGAGAAGGGATCATCCCTGTGCCCGTATCCTGGAGGCTCCCAGAACCAGGGGAATTGCTGATGTCACTGTGCTGAGGGGGCTCCAGTCACAGAATCACTGAGGTTGGAAAAGAACGCCGAGATCATCGAGTCCAACCTGTGCCCCATCCCCACCTTGTCACCCAGCCCAGAGCACTGAGAGCCACCTCCAGTCTTTCCTTAAACACTTCCAGGGGTGGGGACTCCACTCCCTCCAATGCCTCACCTTTTTGTGAAGAATGAGACATCTCAGCCCTGTCCTTCACCCCCTTCACCCGACAGAGAGCACAGTGTCCCCTTTAGCATGGACTCCATCCCATCACAGGGACATTGTTGAGTTGAAGCCACACCTCACCGTGACTGACAACCCTTTGCTGAGCATCTTCATGAATCAATTCCCAGAGAAGCATCAGGAGAGCATCAGGCAGGACAAACAAGCTGTTTGGAGGCTCGGGAGAGCCCGTGAGGTGGCCAAACAGGCTCCCACCTCCAGCACAAGCCACCACCAGCTTGGACTTTCTCCAGAGGGATCAGTGTGCAGGCAGACACCGTCTCTGCCCGGTTTAAGCACTGGAGCACCAGCCTGAAGGAGAAGTTGAGGGTCTCAAGCGGGTGTGTGGGAGGTGGGTGCCAAATCCTCTCACCTTTCACTGTCTGGGCAGTGCTTGCTCCCCTAAAGCACCAACCTCAGCTGATATTTCCTCGTCAAGGCATCAAATTTGGGGAGTTTCCTGCTGCTCTGCAGGCAAGGTGCCTCTTCCAAAAGCAACCTTAAATGCAGACCTTCAGGCCAGCTTTGCTTCCAATAAACAGCAGGGTTTGGAGTGGTTGTGCTTTGCTGTGCTCTGCAAAACCTGGAGCCACTCTGAGGTTTGGGTGCCCAGGGAAGTCTGGAGGTCACGGCTCAGCCGGGCTGGGAGCCAGAACCCACGGCTGGCTCTGCAAACCTCCCTCCAGGTATGTCCTTTCTCGTTTCCTCCCTTTTCAAATATCATAAATGGGTCTGTTTTTTTTTTTTTTTTAAGTTCCCAGCCATCCTGAACTACCCACGCTCGGAACTGCAATATCCCTCCTGCCACAAATGCAGAATTTCAGTAAATGCTTCCTTGGGGGTGCAAAACCTCCAGCTCTCAGAGCCAC